GGTGAAACCGTTTGATGGATGTTCGGTATTGTGGTACCTCGGGTTCAACAAAAAGCTCTGACGTATGAAACTGTGGTTGTTTTCTGATATGGTTTCCCTTTCCATTTGTCCAAGGCCACGTGGTTGTCTACTTCCTTTTGAAGCAGGACAGGGCTATCATGTGGATCAAGGCCGCGTTTGAGAATGCCATGCAATTCCCAATAAACTGTGCAGCTCTTTTCGGATCCCTCACACCCAAGCTTTCACATTGCATAGCGATACCCATGGCCTTTCTCACTGGGAAAGACAGCACCGAAAGCCTTGGATTGCAACAGGGCTGACTAAAGCACATTGTTACTAATGGGGACCCACCCATAAATTTAAATGTTTGAAATTGTTATAATACACAATTGACAATGATAACCAATTCAACATTGCTCATGGTCCTGGTCATGGTAGCAAATCATTTCACTGTCACTGATCCACCAAAGGGTAGTTCAAATCCAAAATAAAATTTAGTCAATATCAAAACCAAATGGCTTCTCCGAATTGGTCATCCACCTTTTGTAGTAAGGGAACCAGAATTTCCCACTTGCAGCGTTTCGTCGAAATGTCGGCACACGACCCGACGTTGCAGACCATGTTTTCATATGGCATGGGTTGTCGCCCAAAAAAAACATAGATTGGGATTCTGATCAGCCTTTTCCCCTGGGAAACGTGTTTCATAGGCCTCAGTGTAGCCCTTGATGTATGCTGCCTCATTCTCTGACAGGAGGTAGCTCAAGTCGGTGACGTTGGATCGGAAGAGTTTTCCCGATGTACCTGGGCTCTGGGCGCTGGGGCTGAATAATAAAGAGTCGTATTTACAAACACCTAAAATATATTATTCTGATTAGTTAATAAAATTACAATTTTACATTTGATTCAATGATCCTGATCAGATGAATGTGGATTTTCCCTTGGGGTATGAAGCTGAATCAATGGGTGTATAGTGATGACAAACTAGCTAAAAACAAATGATAAATGTCAATTCAGCAATCAGCTTTACCAGCTTAGATTTTATTTTGATAGATTGATTGGGTTCACATAACATAATAATACCTTTGCCCCATGAATAATATTAGTAAGTAATTATTATTGGCCATGGGAACTTGAGAAAATGAACCAAAATGTACTAAATAGTAATCAAAAATACGGGACGTCTCCATTGCATCCAACTGAATTTCAGTGGCATCCGCAGTGAGGTAATCAGATGGGACTGTCCCTCCACCCCAAGACTCCATCAAAGTATTGAGGAAATCCACCACCTCGGAATACATTTCTATGGGATTTTTGATGATGTCAACTGCCTCCTTCAAGGCAACAATTGTGTACACACGGCGCCGGCTCACCCCGGAATGGCCAACGTCCTGCATGTCCACATAGATGGGAAAGATGTAGAACATGTCACCCAGCAGCGAAATGACCACGGAGATCTTCAGGTCCTGCCGAAAAACGTTGCAAGGAGATCTGTTACGGTCGGGGGCTGCGACCAGGGTTTGTCAAACATGTCAACTTAAGTAGTGAGACTAACATCAACAATAATAATATTATTATTGTTGATTGAATACTAATAATAATAATAATATATAATATAATATAATGATAATGATATAAATTCCTCAGCCACTTTTTCCCCACCTGCCAGGTGAGGGTTGTTAGATTTTATCAGAGTTGTTCTCCTCCTCCTCGACTAGCTGTCCTCCTCCTCCTCCTCCTCGTCCTCCTCCTCCTCCTCTGGTTTCTTCTCCGCCATGTCTGCATCAACTTCCACCTCCACTTCCGCCTTGCCAACTCTTCGCCAAGCTCTTTGACAACTACCCAGCTCAGTGTGCACTGGGACCTCAACCTGGGACCTGCCCAGCTCAGTGTGCACCGCTGGACCTCAACCTGGGACCTTGCCAGCTCAGTGTGCACCGCTGGACCTCAACCTGGGACCTTGCCAGCTCAGTGTGCACCGCTGGACCTCAACCAGGGACCGTCTCAGCTCAGTGTGCACCGCTGGACCTCAACCTGGGACCTGCCCGGCCCAGTGTGCACCGCTGGACCTCAACCTGGGACCTTCCCAGCTCAGTGTGCACCGCTGGACCTCAAGCGGGGACCTTCCCAGCTCAGTGTGCACTGCTGGACCTCAACGGGCAGATAGAATGCCAGAAGATATGCCAGATAGAATTTCAGATGGAATGCCAGAAGATATGCCAGATAAAATGCCATGAGATATGCCAAATAGAATGCCAGAAGATATACCAGATAGAATGTCAGAAGATATACCAGATAGAATGCCAGAAGATATGCCAGATAGAATGCCAGACGGTATGCCAAATAGAATGCCAGATAAAATATCAGATAGACTGCCACAAGATATGCCAGATAGAATCCCAGAAGATTTGCCAGATAATATGCCAGAAGATATGCCAGATAGAATGCCAGAAGATATGCCAGAAGATATGCCAGAACATCTGCCAGAAGATATGCCAGATAGAATGCCAGAAGATATGCCAGATATGCCAGAAGATATGCCAGATAGAATGCCAGAAGATATGCCAGATATGCCAGAAGATATGCCGGATATGCCAGAAGATATGCCAGATAGAATGTCAGATGGATGCCAGATAGAATGCCAGAAGATATGCCAGAATATATGCCAGAAGATATGCCGGAACATATGCCAGAAGATATGCCAGATAGAATGTCAGATGGAATGCCAGAAGATATGTATATGCCAGAAGATATGCCAGATAGAATGCCAGAATATATGCCAGAAGATATGCCGGAACATATGCCAGAAGATATGCCAGATAGAATGTCAGATGGAATGCCAGAAGATATGTATATGCCAGAAGATATGCCAGATAGAATGCCAGAAGATATGCCAGAAGATATGCCAGAACATATGCCAGAAGATATGCCAGATAGAATGCCAGATAGAATGCCAGAAGATATGTCAGATAGAATGCCAGAAGATTTGCCAGTAAGAAAATGTATAAATGTCATGGTGGGGATCACACGAAGTAAAGTAATTATTATTGTTTATTATATATATGAAATTACTCTTTGGGACTCATTATTCTGATTTTAATAATAAGTTTAAAAACAGTGGCTGAGGAATTTTATTATTATTCTATACGTAAGTATTGAATGGGCCAAGGATGCGAAACCATTTGAACATGATTCATGATGTGAATTTTAATCCCCCACTTATCCTCTACGTTTTCCAGCACTGCAAGGGGGACTCGGTACCTTCTGAGTCTCAGGGCCCACAGTACGAAAATTGGACCCGAGGGGCCCTCTTCAAACATCCGACCTTTCTTGGCCTTGGAATTGTCGACGCATGGCAGCCCCGACATGTCATAGTCAACAACAGGGACTGGACAGCTGCAACCGTGATGAGTCAAGCAGGGCTGCAGAGTGCAGGTAGGGGATGCATAGATTTTGAACTTTTTCTCCGCAAATCCTCAGTGAGTTTTGCGTCAAACTGTCCCCAGAAAGTGAAAACCAATTCAAAATTATCTACAATGAGTCAGATTTACAGTAACATTTTTGGAAGGGTTCATTGTTGTTGAGAATTGAGGTACTCCATCAACATTGTTCGTTCATAAAGGTGGTTTTGATAGTGCCTTTTTTTATCTTGTCAAGCCTGTTCAAAGATTTGGGCTAGGTAGCATACACAGTTGTATCTTCATTAGTCAGTGGCTGGTCAGCATGCTAAGCTAAGTGACTATCGCTGTTTGCAAAAACCCCTGGGGGGCACAGTTCCAGCACGTCCAGGAAGACGCAAGGCAGCTCATGGTCTGAGTCGGTCACACGGTTGGTCCACCAGTGGTTGTCGTAGATGGACTGGTGGCACCGTGTGTCTCTTTCCTGAGTGATTCCAGCCAGAGAGAAATAATTGGAAATCGGAAAAGAACCTAACTCCCCATACAAGACTACAATGAGTAATGTGGATTTACAAATACAGAATTCACATGATAAACTATTGTTGGTTTAATGATAAGTCGAATGAATTTTGACAGGATTTTGACAGGAATAGCTCCCACAGTTCAATGGGGTGCTCAAGGAGCTTCTCACGACTGACTGGCTGTGGGCCACTCTGTGCGGCATCGTCGAACATTTGAAATTAGACCCGGTAAATCCCGGTAGCGTATCAATCAATTGAATTGGAAATTTCTGTAACAGTGACAGTGTTAAAACACTCTCACTTGGATTGACAGGATAACGTGGTGGAGCATTGAAAAGGATGCAATTAAATCAACCCTGTGTAGCCATAGTTTGTTTGTTGTTCTCTAAGGCCCAGTCCCAGACAGCTGCACATCTGATATCCACCCGGAAGTCAAGTACTTTGGACCTGTTGATGATGTTGACAGCTGCGGCCAAAGACATCTCTGCAGTATAGACACCAGTGCACATACTTGATGTCAAGCGAGTGCTTCGCCACATCGACTCCTGCATTCAAAGCTGCACCGTTTCAGCATTTCAGCATGAAAAGGGCAGGTGGACAGAGGGATCCGGGATGGGAATCAAACAATAATAAACCTTTGCAAGATTCAATAATAAGGTTCTCAATGTTTAGTTGATAAATATAATTGCTTGAAATCTAAAGAGCTATTATTTAATAATAGCTCTTTAGATTTCAAGCAGATATAGTTCCAAAGGAAAGATCACATGCACCCTGGCCACACAGTGCCACCGGGGCACATTTAATGCTTTTGCTCCAAGAGCTCGGGCCAAGTACTCCCATGCAGCCTTGGATTGATAGGAGGGTTGTGTGTGAAAGTGGGTATCAATGGGAATGAATAGGTTATGGTCCCCTGGGCAATGTACATTCAGTAATTCTGAAACTGTAACAGGTTTTGATGTTTCAATTGTCGCAATCATTAACTTTGATTCCGTTCTCAAGGGGATTGTTAGTTGTTAAACCAAATAAGTTCGATTATTAAGAGACATTAGTAACCGATGATTTGGTATTAAATATATAATTGTGCTATTGTTATTGTGGAAGGTCCCTTTGGTATGACCCAGCAACTGGAAGCAGCGAAGACGCTTGCGCCAACTTCTGTACTCCTGGCGCTATCTCCTTGGCTAGGTCAGATTGCAGGGGGAATTTAGTGAAAGAATTGCCCATCATTATCATTGAATCAAATCAATGTAACTAAGTAGTCAACGATAAATAATAGTAGTGCTGCTATTTATGATCTGATTCTTATGATTCCAAAGCAGGCTTTTGATCATTTGCAAATAAAATAAAAAGTCAGTGACTGTGGGTGTAAGTAATGATAAATTTCATGTTGATGGGATATTCGGATTCGGCTTTGGCCTGATTACTATTACTGATGATGGCATGAGGTCATGGTCAATACATAAGGCTCCCAAACAATGTAACCATGCAGTCAAGACTCCTCAGGGCCTGTGGGAGGCACAGCGCTTTCAGGGACAGTTTCAGTCACTAACGATGGCACATCATAATCAGTTGCCACTTCTGACCATGCGCGTTTTGCCATCTTGGCGACACCATTAGGTCCAACGGCTGCAGGTAATGAACAATTGTAATGTGTGTGTGGCAAGTACCCAACAATTTCTTGGTGTGTTACTCCATGCTTGATCATTTGTTGTCACATCATTTCACTGAGATGGAATGAATATGTCTTAGTATTAAACAAAACGGTTGTCGTAGCTATTATTACTAAATGTCTATTTATGTGGGGGTTAGTACTACTCCAATTCCGTTTTCACTCACCTACATTACATAGATTACTTTCTACCAAAGCAATCAATCTCATCAGATTCAGATGGATTCTGATCCTTATGACGTTTTTAATTGATTGATTGACTTAATGATATTTTATTATTGGATGTACCCCACTGTCCCAACAAATTATTCTGGGGTCTAACCCAACCGGTTAGGGGATCAGCCTGCCATTGACTGGGAGCCCCAGGCAAGAGGGGCGACAAAGCCACCCAAAGCTTTCCATGGACCTTGGTGTCCATCCAATGTAACTTCAAAACACCCCATGCCAGTCCTCACTACCGACACTCAGACAAAATAAAAGGGGTCTATAGAAACTATTCCACTAATAATCTTCCGGTCTCAACCCTGTTGTAGAGTTGTGTGTGTGTGTGTTCACTTGTGTCTATGTCACTGCAGATGTCTGTCAGTCCCTGTCTTTTTGTCTCGTTGTCAGTCCCATCAAACTGGGGATCCACACAGAAACACCAAGCCACTTCGGTTGGGATCTTGCAAATGTTGGAACCGTCCATCGTCATCTCAGCCAGCGGATTGATTGGCACCAATGAGTGCAATATGTGTTTGTGAGACGTTTCTGATGACTGATACCTTTCATGTGTTCTTTAAACTTAAACCGTGAGTTGTTCATCCAAAAACCTGGCTGCATTGAATTCACACGTAGACTGTAAGTTGTGTAACATCTCAGCCCCAAGCATGCATGATTTTCTGGTCGTGGAACTCGATGCGCATTCGGCTTGCATAGGCCACCTAGGACCACCAACACTCTCTCAAAACTGGACCCTCTACCTTTCTTGTGCATTTGCACAGCTTTAGTTCCCACTAACTCCCTTTGATTGTATTCAAAACCAATTTTATCCATAAGACAACTTTTGGGGTAAACCTGATTGTGGAAAGAGTTCAGTTCACCTCAACATTCCCCCTATGGCAATTTCAAAACGAGGAACCATTGCCCTCATAGCAAAGTCACAGGGATATATGTTTCGATCAGGAGGTATGGCACGAGAGATCAAAACCTCCTGTGACAGTGTGACTGACTAGGAATAATCTGATCAACAGTAACAGGGGATGGCAAGATAACCAATATTGTCATTGTGTTAATAGTCATAATAGGGTTCTGCCTTAACTACGTGTCGAGATACGTTTTTTAATCAATGAATCCAGGACTAGTAGACCCAACAATGACGACATTGGTTGACCCTAACACACAAATAGAAACTATTTTGAACATGATGCCAGTCATAAGCAAACAATAATCTCAAGTAGTTGCTCCTGTCAAATACTATACCCCTTTCTGCACTTTAAAATGTCAACAGGTGGAAGGTCGGGTGAGTCCTGCATAGTTCGAAGCTTGTCAACTACTGACATGAACTCAAACGATGAAATTCTCTTCGTAGCTGCGAACCTGCGCTTTGGCTTTGTTTTGCAGATCTGCTCAATGGACCTGTCCTGGGCTGTGTACTAGGCCCCCCTGTTTAATTATTTTAATTGACAATATTTCATGGAAGCCTGGGGGGTCTATGGGGGGGGTCTGTGGATAAGCCTGGATAAGCTATGGATAAGCCAATGGTGATGATCTTCTGCTAAAAGGTGAATTTATGGTGTTTCACTGTGGTTGGGAAGTGCCAGGGTTTGGCTCGAGGGGGAGGAGGGGCTTTGTGGTTCAATTCAGTCAAATTTGAGCAGTGTGCATCCTGAGGGGTGGAGAAAAGGATTACCAATGCATGACATTGTCAAAGACTCACAGTCCCCCGCTTCAAACCCTACAAACTTAAGTACCAAGTGTCAACAATGAAACAGACCTGTGACAGCAAACTCCTGGCAATGGGCAGCAATGCTTTGCCTTCAGCAGAGCCATCCAACTTCCTGCAAGCTGAACGCAACAACTCAAACCCTGGCAACACCTGGGTCCAGCACCAACCCTGACCCCCACTGTCTGTACTGAAGCGTACATGTTAAATTGGTGAATTGAATCAGTCAAAATAAGTTGATGCTATTCCCAAACAACTCACACAGACATTGAGCTTCATTGAACCCAAGTCACGGATCCGTGGCAAAGCAAATGAAATCAGCCAGAGAAGGACGGTTTGGGTGTGAGGACACCACTGGAGTTGCATCTGCATTGCCAGGTGCAGCACTCTCATCCTGATGAGGCTTGCAGTAAACCCGGGTTGAACTTTAGTAAACAGCTAAGTGGGAGCCACACAACAAAACAAATTCTGAATGGGGTGAAATACAAAGGAATTAAGCTGACGGGTCATTGTTCCTTACCCCCATAGACAAACACACACTATATAGTACAGTCGGGTATCAAAAGCTTTGCGCCACAATGCTATGCAGGAGTGTGCCAATGGACTGCCAGGACCCCACACAGCCAAACCAGGTAAGCACCCATCATCTGAAAGTGTTTCCCTTGAAACAAGGAAGTTGGTAACATTGACGATCATGAGGTTGATGCCCGGCACGGAAGACACCATGAGTCCAACAATCTGTCTAAGGAAACGCCTCGCTGTCACACGGGTTGAACCATAGACCTCTTTGTTAGCTAGATGTCTCGCAAGTGTCGCAAACACTACCGAAGAAGCAATAGTCCGTTCTGGCATTGTTGGTGTCACTTCACGGCCGGTTTTTCGGACAGGTAGGTCTTGTGGAACCTGAGATTGAAAAAAAATGTTTGAATTGAACCCTGGTAAACATTGGTCCATTGCTGATTGAAACAATACTATTATACATTGCAACATTGTCGGTTATTGTCATTGATTGTCGTTTTGCCTTAACTTAATCAGAATATCTTTGAACTGAACCCATCAATTCCCAATACATACAACATTTAAAACCAATTCAAACCAAAGCAACTGGAACCCCTGGCCACATGGAAGCATGCGCATCCTGGATTTGCTTCTGGTGTTTTTTCTCGGTAAACCGTTTTTTCAAGTTTTTCCTCCTGTCTGCTGAAGCCTCGGCCTCAGCACTGCTACCATAAAGCAGCTGAAGTAGCCTCGCCAAGCCCCATTGACATTGCTGATCCTGGCCAGTGGCTACTTGCCCACATGCTGATTCCACTACTATTGTAGGCACCAACAATGACAAAACAATGCCACTAAACAATGGCCCCCACTACTACTATGCATCGCCCTGAACATGTGAAACTGAAACACCAATAGGATCACTCCACGTGTTCTTTGCCCTAATTTAGGCTATATGTCGCACAGGCTCCCTGTCCTGCACTCGGTAGACTGGTAGCTGCTCATCACAAATGTGCAAGCTGCCTGGGCTAGCAAACGGTAATTATCATTGAACTTTACTTGTTTCACCATTCAACACACTGAGGAAACTGATTTAATTAACTATTAATTAATGTTGTCCAAACATATTAATTATTATATAATATATGTTCAATCAATGTCAGTATATTATACTATTACACTTACATTAGTTTAAACATACTTTGGTTGCAAACCTCCCCTTGAAACAACTCCAAATGTTTTCAAAGGTGAGGCCCAGACATTCCCCCAGCAGCTTCAATGAAGCGCCAGCGCCATGACCAGCAGCCAATGCCATGCCCCCAGCAGCTAATGTGACATTGTATGCAGCTGATCCGTTTGTTGATTTTTGTTTTCTGTAATCGTTGTATCCTTTTCTCCACCCCTCAGGATGCACACTGCTCAAATTTGACTGAATTGAACCACAAAGCCCCTCCTCCCCCTCGAGCCAAACCCTGGCACTTCCCAACCACAGTGAAACACCATAAATTCACCTTTTAGCAGAAGATCATCACCATTGGCTTATCCATAGCTTATCCAGGCTTATCCACAGACCCCCCCCCCATAGACCCCCTTATGAGCCCATGATCTTTGTGTCTTTATTTGTTTCTTTCTTTGTTTCTTTCTTTGTTTCTTTCTTTGTTCTTTCTTTGTTTCCTTATTTGTTTCTTTCTTTGTGTTTTTCTTTGTGTCTTTATTTGTTTCTTTCTTTGTTTCTTTCTTTGTTTCTTTCTTTGTTTCTTTCTTTGTTTCTTTCTTTGTTTCTTTCTTTGTTTCTTTTTTTGTTTCTTTCTTTGTTTCTTTATTTGTTTCTTTGTTTCTTTCTTTGTGTCTTTCTTTGTGTCTTTCTTTGTTTCTTTCTTTGTTTCTTTCTTTGTTTCTTTCTTTGTTTCTTTCTTTGTTTCTTTCTTTGTTTCTTTCTTTGTTTCTTTCTTTGTTTCTTTCTTTGTTTCTTTCTTTGTTTCTTTCTTTGTTTCTTTCTTTGTTTCTTTCTTTGTTTCTTTGTTTGTTTCTTTGTTTGTTTCTTTGTTTGTTTCTTTCTTCGTTTCTTTCTTCGTTTCTTTCTTTGTTTGTTTCTTTGTTTGTTTCTTTGTTTGTTTCTTTGTTTGTTTCTTTGTTTGTTTCTTTGTTTGTTTCTTTGTTTCTTTCTTTGTTTCTCTCTTTGTTTCTCTCTTTGTTTCTTTCTTTGTTTCTTTCTTTGTTTCTTTCTTTGTTTCTTTCTTTGTTTCTTTCTTTGTTTCTTTCTTTGTTTCTTTCTTTGTTGCTTTCTTTGTTTCATTCTTTGTTTCTTTCTTTGTTTCTTTCTTTGTTTCTTTCTTTGTTTCTTTCTTTGTTTCTTTCTTTGTTTCTTTCTTTGTTTCTTTCTTCGTTTCTTTCTTTGTGTTTTTCTTTGTGTCTTTGTTTGTTTCTTTGTTTCTTTGTTTGTTTCTTTGTTTCTTTCTTTGTTTGTTTCTTTGTTTCTTTCTTTGTTTCTTTCTTTGTTTCTTTCTTTGTTTCTTTCTTTGTTTCGTTCTTTGTTTGTTTCTTTGTTTCTTTGTTTGTTTCTTTGATTGCTTCTTTGTTTGCTTCTTTGTTTGCTTCTTTGTTTGCTTCTTTGTTTGCTTCTTTGTTTGCTTCTTTGTTTGCTTTTTTGTTTGCTTCTTTGTTTGCTTCTTTGTTTGCTTCTTTCTTTGTTTGCTTCTTTGTTTCTTTGCTTCTTTGTTTCTTTGCTTCTTTGTTTCTTTGCTTCTTTGTTTCTTTGCTTCTTTGTTTCTTTGTTTGTTTCTTTGTTTCTTTGTTTTTTTCATTCTTTGTTTCTTTCTTTGTTTCTTTCTTTTTTTCTTTCTTTGTTTCTTTCTTTGTTTCTTTCTTTGTTTGTTTCTTTGTTTGTTTCTTTGTTTGTTTCTTTGTTTGTTTCTTTGTTTCTTTGTTTGCTTCTTTGTTTGCTTCTTTGTTTGCTTCTTTCTTTGTTTGCTTCTTTCTTTGTTTGCTTATTTCTTTGTTTGCTTCTTTGTTTCTTTGCTTCTTTGTTTCTTTGCTTCTTTGTTTCTTTGTTTCTTTGTTTTTTTTGTTTGTTTGTTTGTTTGTTTGTTTCTTTGTCTCTTTCTTTGTTTCTTTGTTTCTTTGTTTCTTTGTTTCTTTGTTTGTTTCTTTGTTTGTTTGTTTGTTTTTTGTTTCTTTCTTTCTTTGTTTCTTTGATTCTTTGTTTTTTTTGTTTGTTTGTTTGTTTGTTTCTTTGTTTGTTTCTTTGTTTGTTTCTTTCTTTGTTTCTTTCTTTGTTTCTTTCTTTGTTAGTTTCTTCGTTTCTTTCTTTGTTTGTTTCTTTGTTTGTTTCTTTGTTTGTTTCTTTGTTTCTTTGTTTGGTTCCTTGTTTGGTTCGTTGTTTGGTTCTTTGTTTGTTTGTTTCTTTGTTTGCTTCTTTGTTTGCTTCTTTGTTTGCTTCTTTGTTTGCTTTTTTGTTTGCTTCTTTGTTTGCTTCTTTGTTTGCTTCTTTGTTTGCTTCTTTGTTTGCTTCTTTCTTTGTTTGCTTCTTTCTTTGTTTGCTTATTTCTTTGTTTGCTTCTTTGTTTCTTTGCTTCTTTGTTTCTTTGTTTCTTTGTTTTTTTTGTTTGTTTCTTTGTTTGTTTCTTTGTTTGTTTCTTTGTTTTTTTGTTTGTTTGTTTGTTTGTTTCTTTGTTTGTTTCTTTGTTTGTTTCTTTGTTTGTTTCTTTGTTTGTTTCTTTGTTTCTTTCTTTGTGTCTTTCTTTGTGTCTTTCTTTGTTTCTTTCTTTGTTTCTTTCTTTGTTTCTTTTTTTTGTTTCTGTCTTTGTTTCTTTATTTGTTTCTTTGTTTCTTTCTTTGTTTCTTTCTTTGTTTCTTTCTTTGTTTCTTTCTTTGTTTCTTTCTTTGTTTCTTTCTTTGTTTGTTTCTTTGTTTGTTTCTTTGTTTGTTTCTTTGTTTGTTTCTTTGTTTCTTTCTTTGTTTGTTTCTTTGTTTGTTTCTTTGTTTGCTTCTTTGTTTGCTTCTTTGTTTGCTTCTTTGTTTGCTTCTTTGTTTGCTTCTTTGTTTGCTTCTTTGTTTGCTTCTTTGTTTGCTTCTTTGTTTGCTTCTTTATTTGCTTCTTTGTTTGCTTCTTTGTTTGCTTCTTTGTTTGCTTCTTTGTGTGCTTCTTTGTTTGCTTCTTTGTTTGCTTCTTTCTTTGTTTGCTTCTTTCTTTGTGTTTGCTTCTTTCTTTGTTTGCTTCTTTGTTTCTTTGCTTCTTTGTTTCTTTGCTTCTTTGTTTCTTTGCTTCTTTGTTTCTTTGTTTGTTCCTTTGTTTGTTTGTTTGTTTCTTTGTTTGTTTCTTTGTTTGTTTCTTTGTTTCTTTGTTTCTTTGTTTCTTTGTTTCTTTGTTTGTTTCTTTGTTTGTTTCTTTGTTTCTTTGTTTGTTTCTTTGTTTGCTTCTTTGTTTGCTTCTTTGTGTGCTTCTTTGTTTGCTTCTTTGTTTGCTTCTTTCTTTGTTTGCTTCTTTCTTTGTTTGCTTCTTTCTTTGTTTGCTTCTTTGTTTCTTTGCTTCTTTGTTTCTTTGCTTCTTTGTTTCTTTGCTTCTTTGTTTCTTTGCTTCTTTGTTTCTTTGTTTGTTCCTTTGTTTGTTTCTTTGTTTCTTTGTTTGTTTCTTTGTTTTTTTCTTTGTTTCTTTGTTTGTTTCTTTGTTTGTTCCTTTGTTTGTTTCTTTGTTTGTTCCTTTGTTTGTTTCTTTGTTTCTTTGTTTGTTTCTTTGTTTGTTTCTTTGTTTCTTTGTTTGTTTCTTTGTTTGTTTCTTTGTTTGTTTCTTTGTTTGTTTCTTTGTTTCTTTGTTTGTTTCTTTGTTTGTTTCTTTGTTTGTTTCTTTGTTTGTTTCTTTGTTTGTTTGTTTTTCTTTTTTTCTTTCTTTGCTTGTTTGTTTGTTTGTTTGTGTTTGTGTGTTTGTGTGTTAGTTAGTTAGTTAGTTAGTTTGTTTGTTTGTGTTCTTGTGTTTTTGTTTGTTTGTGTTCTTGTGTGTTTGTGTGTTTGTGTGTTTGTGTGTTTGTTTGTTTGTTTGTTTGTTGGTTTGTTGGTTTGTTGGTTTGTTTGTTGGTTTGTTTGTTGGTTTGTTGGTTTGTTTGATGGTTTGTTTGTAATATATTCGTATGTATTATAGCCATAATAAATAATATTTCAAATATTTGTTATATGTAAAATATTTATAGTTCATGTATATTCTAATATATATATATATTTAAAAATTGTGTTTTATATTATTTATATAATGAAAATATATCTTGAATATGTATATATATATATATTTATTTAACATTTCTAATTATATATCATAATTAATATTTACATATAGATAATATGATATATATATATATTATATTTATGTATATGACATATATTTAATACCTAATATATATATATATGTTTTATACATATATATATATATATATATGTCTTATACATATATATATTTATGTTTTATGCGAATGGGATGTAGACGATAATACACCTACATATCCCATGTATATAGGTCTTGCATATCCAGTCAAAGGGGCCAAACAACGCTGCCCCTTTGGCTCAAGACAACTGCCTATCCGAGACGTAAAATGAGCAATGCCGAAGCACTGGTTTCCGTGACCATCGAACTCCAATACAACGATTCAGGAACATTAAGGACAATATAACCGGGAACGTCCGTTTCACAGGTTATCAGCCGTAGGACTCCACCGGAGCCTACGAGCGGGTAGCCGCGGACCTTACTACAGATGGCTGAAGAAGACAGTAGCGATGCCGCCGCACC